GTTTATTGCTTTCTTCTTGCAGTTGTTCAGTTGCGAAGCTGTGTCCAACTCTTTGTGACCCCATGGACTACAGAACACCAGGCTTCCCTGTCCTTCACTATCTCCTGGAGTTTGCTAAAATTCATGTCCACATTTCACTTCATTTTGACCCTCTGTAGAGTATTTCTTTTTTTATTCTGTTAGTTTTAATGAGATGTAATTGACAAAAAAGCATTGTGTATGTCTAAGGTGTACAGCTTAATGATTTGGCTTACATACATTATGAAATGTTTGTCACCTAAGTTTAGTGAACATTTATCTCATACAGATACACAATTAAAGAATAGAGGAAAAATTTTTTTCTTTGTGATGAGAACTCTTAGGACTTACTCTACAACTTCATATATAACATACAGCAATGTTAATTATATTTACTATGTTAAACACTACATCTCTAGTACTTACTTGTCTTAGAGGAAGATTGAACCTTTTGACTGCCTTTATCCAGTTCCCCTTACCTCACTCCCTGCTTCTTGTAACTACAAATCTGATTTCTTTTTCTATGAGTTAGTGTGTTTTTAAAGTATAATTGACCTAAAATGTTATGTTAGTTCCTGTTATGCATCATAGTTTTGATATTTCTGTACATTTCAAAATGATCACCATGGCAAATCTAGTTATGATATGTCACCATAGAAAGATGTTGAGTGTGACCCCCATGCTGTACATCTTATACCTTTGACTCATTTATTTTGCAGCTGGGAATTTTGTTCCTCATTATCTCCCTCACCTGTTTCTTCTCCTTACCCCCTCCTCTCTGGCGGTTGCCTGTTAGCTCTCTGTATCTATAACAGTGTTTCTTTTTTGCTAAGTTTGTTAATTTGTTTTTTAGATTCTGCATATAAGTGAAATCATACAGTATTTGTCTTCATTTGACTAATTTCACTTAGCATAACACCCTTTGGTTCTATTCATATTGTCACATATGGGAAGATTTCATTCTTTTTATGGCTGAGTAATATTTCATCATATACTTATATGTGTGTATATATGTATATGTGTATATGGGCTTCCCTGGTGGCTCAGACAGTAAAGAATCTGCCTGCAATGCAGGAGATGCAGATTCGATCCCCAGGTTGGGAAGATCCCCTGGAGAAGGGAATGGCAATCCACTCCAGTATTCTTGCCTGGAGAATCCCATGGACAGAGGAGCCGGGCAGGCTGCATGGGGTCACAGAGTCAGACACGACTGAGTGACTTTCACATATATGTATATATCTTATGTCTTTTATCCACTCATCTATTTATAGACACTTAGGTTCCTTCCATATCCTAACTATTACAAATAATGATGCAATGAACATATGGGTGAATATATCTTTTCTAATTTGTGTTTTCATTTTCATCCAATAAATACTCAGGAGTGGAATGCTGGATCATAGGATAGTTCTATATTTAATTTTTTGAGGTATCTCTATACTGTTTTCTGTCAGAGAAGGCAATGGCAACCCACTCCAGTACTCTTGCCTGGAAAGTCCCATGGACGGAGCAGCCTGGTAGGCTGCAGTCCATGGGGTCTCGAAGAGTCGGACACAACTGAACGACTTCACTTTCACTTTTCACTTTCATGCATTGGAGAAGGAAATGGCAAGCCACTCCAATGTTCTTGCCTGGAGAATCCCAGGGACGGGGGAACCTGGTGGGCTGCCGTCTATGGGGTCGCACAGAGTTGGACACGACTGAAGTGACTTAGCAGCAGCATACTGTTTTCTGTAGTGACTGCACCAATTTACATCCCCACCAACAGTGCACGAGGGTTCCCTTTTCTCCACACTGTGGAATATTTGTGGTTGTTCAGCAAAATGTTAAAAAAAATTTTTTTTTCCTTTGTCCTGGATGTCTGCTCTACAAGATGCCAATAATAGAAGTCTTACTCAGCCTTTTACAATGTGGAGAATTGTGAAAGGCTGAGTAATTTTTTAATTGCTTTTTTACTAAGGGATTTAGGTTGTTTTTTGTTTTTGTTTTGCTAAAAAACTGTGAAAAAAATTTGCATGTAGGTCTTTGTGCACACAGGCAAAGAGTTTTTTCATCATCATGGAATGAGACAAAGGAATAAGATATGATCATTCTTATTTAGCTTTTTCTATGCTATATAATTTGTGGATTCCTTAAATACCACTAAAATACGTTTTTATATTCTAAAAATTTCTCACCCAGACAAAATGCATTATCATAAGCATATTGTTATTTCTGAATAGTGTGTGTCCAGGTTACCATACTTTGCAAGTGTATCCAGAAGACAGCATTGCCACTGATTCTAGGTTGTGTTTTGGCAGTGAACAACACTTTTGATACATGCTGAATCATTAGAAAACGGAAGTTATGTACCAAACTGCAGGACAGTTCAGAACACAGCTTCTGATGTTTCTCAGATAAAACCAGAAGTCATTGTAAAATTATGTTTTTCAGATGGCATAGTTACAAATAAATGAGGAAATGAAACAGCAGGCTATGCATCGTTGATAGATTACGTGCATAACCACATGGCATTGATTTCCAATGTAGAAGCTTTTTTACAAAGCAGTGACAATTGTAGGTTATGTAATACTGAGTAGTAATAAGTACGTTTTGGATATATCATTTGTTATATGAAAATAACTTTTCATTTCATGCTCTGTTTTTCCTTCGGGGCACATTCTGAGCTGTAGAAGAGTTTATCTACCATTTGGCTTTCCATAAACTATCAGGCGAGATGCCTATAAGAGTCTCTACTTTGAGAAGTAGTATACATAATACTTATTGTATACCACTCATAGTTATCTTCAAAATAACATCTAATAGCTCATTTTTTTTTTTGACACTAGATAAAGGTGTTTTCTAAAGACTTTTATCAGAAATCCAAATGTTTCTGGGGATTCCTTTCAATCCTCAATACAATGTATCTTTGGCATTTTAAAAATTGAGGACTAAACCAAATTTCCTGTAAGTTTTTTTTGGTTTGAATTTTATCTATGTAATTATTCTTTGAAGTAGACATTTGGAGTTACTCCATACTCATCCCTGTTTAAAATTTTCAAGGCTGAGAAGTCCTCAGGCTTGTAAGAAGATTGGCCAACTTCGATGACATCTCTCTGGCCTTTGAAGTTGGTGCAGTTCAGTATAGATACCTCAGGGGTGTGTGGTCATGGAAAAACATGTTTTTGTTGAGTGTTCTTGCTTTCTAGTAATTTTATTTTCTGCTCAAGGGATTTAGTATCTGTTCAGATACTTTATTTTTAAAGACCACATAAGTAATGACTTGACCTCTAATCTTAGCTTTGAAAATTTCCCAGACACTAATAATGTCTAATGACCTATTATTTGAGTATACTACTCACTGGCCAGCAATTGGTGCTATTTAAAAAATGTATATTTTACTCTGAAAATTATTTCCTTGGCCAAAAGCCTTTGTTAGTTAAATTGTGTGTATAATGACATAATTTGGTAACTCTGGGGCCTTGATTTGTAATACTTTTTATATGTTGTCACCAAGACTTACTACAGTTCAAAACAACTCTTTTCTTTGAATACTACACTAAATAATTAGCTCTGAGAAAAATATTCTGTAAACAATAGTCTTATAAGAAATAGCACCTGTCTCCTGGACTAATAATATGAGTATTTTGGGTACAAAGCATTACATGGTAATCCTTGTTTTGCATGAATGTGGGCTATCTTTGCAGTAAATTTATGAATAAGATTTTTGCAAAGGGTCAAGTTAGTACTGAAAACTAGGGTTATCAATTAAATTTCCTGGACTGTCCTTGTTAGGACACATGCTTAATAATTTGTGGAGTGAAAGAGAGAATCACACCAGACTGTGTTATATGTGTGTCAGGGTGTATTCATGAAGAGAGGAAAAAAGTTTCCTTCTAGGTGTCTGGGCAAAGCTAGAGTTGTCCTTTTTTGTTGTTTTTGTTTGTGACAGTAGACCCTCTTGGTAAGAACCTACCTAGATACAGTGTTGTTTTTGTGACGTAGGTAGAGGAAACAGTCTTTTGCTAATTTGATGTGCTTTCTTGTGTGGCTTCTTAAGAGATGATGTTTAGTTTTTTGCTAAACTCAAGTTATATGCAAAGAGAAGAAACAGTCTGTGTAATTAATTTTTTTTAATTTGTTATAACTGAGTTGGACAATCCTGAAAGAGATTTGAATAATTGAGATTTTCCCTTGCTTCCAGGGGAAGGGAAATATTTCAGTTTACTTACTTTAGGCTATAAAAATAGTTTTTTCTTCCTTTGCCTGCAGCAAGACTTATGAACATAAAGTCCCAAAACAGATTTAGTATTAATTTTTAAAGCTTCCCCATATTTCTGTCTTCATCTACTGTAACTAATGTGCCTGAATGTAAAATGGAAAAAGTTGAAAATTTCCACTTGTGCTTTTTGAGCTTTTCAGAGGTATTATACACTCTGGATATAGTAAAAGATACTGGGCCTTATACAGTGCTTTTTGTGTGAGGAACTCATATAAACACTAATGCATTGATCCTAACACAGTACTTGATTGTGACTTTAAAAGGTCATGAGTTACTGCTGTTACAAAGAAAATTTTTTAAAGATTGGAGGAAGAGCTGTGATTTACAAATATTGTTTGAAAGATATCTAGATAAAATCTGATACAGAAAACTGAAAAATTAAAGTTAGGGGGGATTTTTATTGTTTGTTCAGTTTTCCTTTAGCCTGCAATAAATTTTTATCTCCCTTTTTTTCTTTTGTCTATGAATATCCTTGAAGCCTGATTCCCTTCTTAAGCCATGAAGGCAAAATTTACTTTTAAACTTTTATTCCTTAGCCAAGAAGGCTTCAGCCTGAGGACGTTTCCTGAGTAAGTTGGTCATATTAACATAATAATGCATTTTATTTGTTCTGAGTTGGGAGATGATCATTCTGGTTTTCTTCGTTTAGTGTTTGTGGCATATGGTTATTGATGAACATAGTGGTCAAGTGGCTTAATCTTCAACCTTTTTGTGTTTTTAGGTTTATTCTTCAGTCCAAGGAGGCAATTCATAATCAGCTGTTAGAGAAACAGAAGATAGCAGAAGAAAAAATTAAAGAATTGGAAGTAAGTAGGTTTTGAGTGAATAATAATAGCTGTAGTCAGCTTTTAGGAGAAAAGTAATGATCTCATTTTGTCACATTAAATGAAAATGTATGCCTACCAAGGTCATGTCACATTGTTTTTATTTTTTCTGATTGTGCTAGAGCTAATGATGCAGTCTTTTTATGGCAGTGTATGAGCAAAAAAAAAAAGACTAGTCTCTTAAAACTTTAGGGAGTTTTGGATACTTTAGGACAGGATGTTGTTAACCTGAATGTGTTTCTTCCATTGCCTTTGCGTGAACATGTTTATTCTTAAAAAATAAAAGCACAGTGTGCATGTGAATACCACATACTGTGGCAGATGGGTGTGAGAGCAGGTAATGATAGTGGTGGTTAAAGAATCTAGATACATGACTCTTGCACGCTGTGATGCTAGATAAGGACAGAGTGAGTAGTAAGCTGTCACTGGGCTTCCCTGGTGGCTCGGACAGTAAAGAATCCGCCTGCAGTGCAGGAGACCTGGGTTTGATCCCTGGGTTGGGGAGATTCCCTGAAGGAGGGCATGGCAGCCAAGCTAAAGCTAATTATCTATCTGAAGGACAGTGCTCCAGTCAAGAAAACAATCTTTTTTTCTTAGGGAAAAAGATAGATAGGTAAGAATAATAACTTTATAAGTGTTTGGAAAATTGGGAGTTTATTATTATCATTTTTTTACACATTAAAACCTTTGCTGTTGCTGTTTAGTTGTCTGACTCGTCTGACTCTTTGTGACCCCAAGGACTGTAGCCTGCCCGGCTCCTCTGTCCAGGAACACTGGAGTGGGTTGCCATTTCCTTCTCCAGGAGATCTTCCCAGCATAGGGATTGAACTGGGGTCTCCTGCATTGCAGGTGGATTCTTTACCAGCTGAGCTACCAAGGAAGGCACCTGGGAAGTGCTTAAAACCTTTAATGAAATAATTTTCTCGGACTTTGGTGAATGGTCTGTCCTCTATGTAATAAAAGTTGGATAGGACAAAAAACTGGTCATTATTTTTGGGGACTAAGATTTCCTGAGATGGGGGTGGATACAGTGACTTCATAGGTCACTTTATCTAATTTCTTTGAATACTATTTGAGGCAGTGGTTCAGAATCTGACTCAGCCTTTTACTGAATTGATGAGACACCCCTTATAGCCTTTTGGGGATTTCTCAGGGACACCAACTTGGCATGGCCTGGGCAAGCATGTGGTGTTTTAGGTTACTTAGGCTTATTTTTGTTTGACTACTGATGAAAATTTAAGCAGACTTGATAATGACTTTGTAGCTTAGAAAATGTATTGTGAAACAAAACAAATAAGCAAACAACAGAAAAAAGAAAACTTACCTTGTAGTAATCAGGTTTTTATTATTTCCTACTTTATCGTTTTTGTCAGCCCAACTCTTCTAGGTTGAGTTTTCCATACAAAAATACCTTAAAAAAAAACTGAACAAAATGATTTCATGTAGAGTACAAAAAAAAAAGAAAATGTGTTTTTGCAATTGTTGGTAGATATATCTAAACATTGTCCTGATGAATAAGTGGCAAAGTAATGTGTAAATAGTTCTCTTTTTATGAAAACAAACAAAAGCCAAGATCTGTATATGAACATTGAATATGATTTGCTGTAAGTATGTGTGTTAAATTAACACTAGTTACCCTAAGAAAATTAGATGGGGTGTGGCTGTAATTGTTTTTTTCTTATAACCTCTGTGTTGGATAAATTGTAACAAGGATATGTTAACTTTCCTAGTTAAAAGGAAACATTAAGGTAAAATTGCCACAGATGATGATTTTAGCATACTATTTAGCTCTGGTGAATATCAGGAAATTCATTTTCCAAAAGTTTCCTTTCATGGAGTCTCTCAAATACTGTTATGTTAAGAGTATTCTGATATCTGTCAAATGATAGAATAGATTAGCTCGCTTGTTGGTATTTGAAATGCTTGTTAACAACTATAAAAAGAGTATTTCTCTCTGCCTGGGGACTTCCTCTTCCTCCTACCAACTCTGTTAATCCTTAAGATCTTAGTTTAGGGCTACTTCTGAGAAGCATTTTCTGATTCCTCAGTATTAACTTAAGTGCCTTCCCCTTGTTCTAATTTTTCTAGTTTCATAGCACAATGTGAGGATTTGAGCATATAAACATATATTATGAGTTGAAGTCATTACAAATATTACTTCCTATTACTTGGGAAGCTTGATACAGATTCAGAGCTCTAAATAGTTTTTCCTAAGGTCTTCCAGTTATTACTCTGCCTTTCAAGTATAGTCTGTTCTTTTGAGCGTTAGTATTTCTTGCCAGTCCAACATAATTATCATTATTGTTATTAATTTGTACCCTCAGATACCTTACTATTAAGTTGAGGAGGCATAATTTATACAGTAACTGCAGACTAAGGCCAGGCTGCTTCGATTAGCACCTTTCATCCCTTATGAAGTAAGGTTTTTGGTTTGGGTCAAGAGTTCCAGTTTCTGACCTGGTTACACTGTGTATGCCTCTGCATCTCCTACCAATAATCTATATAAATGACACTGTGGATCAGCCATGACATGGTATAGGTGCTGGTCTGATCTGAGGGCCCACCTCAGTATTTTCTAGACTGCCTTTTCTCCATCTCCATTCTTAGTTTCTTTTTGCCCTCTCCATATTTTTTCCCCTAGTCCTTAACTTATGAGTGCAAGGATTACCTAGAATTTGTTTAGCTTTTCATAACGCTAGTATGCTGTGCCGACATTGTCAACTAGCCTAGTATCTTACTTTCTGGCCCTTTTCCTCTTCTGGAGCAGAAGTGGGAATACTATAATGTTGCACTCATGTCCTTAGTTCCCCAACGAGGGATTAGACCCATGGCCCCTGCAGTGGAAGCCCAGAGTCTTAACCACTGGACCTCCATGGGAGTCTCTGCTCTCATGTCCTCTTGATAGGGAGTTATATTACCTGCTAGAAGGGTAGAAACAAGTACCATGTTAACCTTGGGAAGATAGGCTGTCTTTTTCTTTTTAAAATTCAGTATTTTACATTTTAATACCCCTATGTTGGTTTTTCAGGCTATAATCACTTACTTGGGTTAGATTAGGAAGTGACTTCATAACAGACTCACAATGTGATAGTGTTATATAGATTTTTACCTTTCCTTTATAAAGATGATTGATCAGGTTTTGGGAGCAAATGTCACAGTTTCATCCGTGTGGTGATAAAAAGCAGACCAATAATGCTACTCCAGTTGAAGAGAAAAAATAAAATGATGCCTTTAGTATGGTAGAGTAACCATGTTGTTTATGTCATTGAGGGAATTCATTATTTGTTTAAAAAATGTTGATAACAAATAACTTTAAGGAAGCTGACTGCAGTATATAACACATAATACAGTATATGTTATTAGAAAATATAAAATTGTACTTCTTAAAAATGACATGCATATAATTGGGATTTCTGATTAGGACTTCATGTGTCTCATCTGTCTATATAAAAATAATTTTTGAAATATACAGCATTGCTACATAAAGAAAGTACAAGTTTTTATTTTTTTGAGATTTAAGAGTTTAATTAGACACCGTATCATTAAACTCACAGACATTTTTGAGGTATCAGACACAAAATGTAGTAGTAGTATAGTGTTGTTTGCTCAGCTATGTCCAACTCTTTGTGACCCGATGGACTGTAGCCCGCCAGGCTCCTCTGTCTCTGGGATTTTCCAGGCAAGAATCCTGGAGTGGATTGCCATTCCCTTCTCTGGGAAAGTACAAGTTTTAAAAAATTTTATTTTATTTTTTTTATGGCTGCTCTGGGTATTTGTTGCTGCTTGAGGGCTTTTTCTAGTTGCAGCGAGTAGTGGCTACTGGACAGTTGCAGTGCGGGGCCTTCTCATTGTGGTGGCTTACTGGGGGCGTGGGCTCAGTAGTTGTGGTCCACAAGCTTAGTTGCCTTGCAGCATATGGGATCTTCCTGAACCAGGGATTGAACCTCTGTCCCTGCACTGGCAGGTGGATTCCTAACCACTGGACCACCAGGGAAGACCTGAGTTGTTTTTTTTTTAAATTTCAGTTTTAGTTAAAGTTGACCTAAAACCCTATTGATGGATTGAAGAGATATGTATCTTCTAAAGAGTAAAAAATATATTGTATATTTTTGCTCACTTTTGGGGAGTAAAAAAAACAAACAATTACTTGTGGACTTTTACAGTTGCAAAAACTTAGATTCAGCATTTAGATGAGCTAGAGCTGAATTTTTGACTCCTTTTGCTTTTTGACTCTCAAGTATTTGGAATACTTGAGATAACTGTTAGCTTTCATTGATGTGTTTGAATACATTTTGACTGTCATTCTCCTGTGTTCTTTCTCATTGAATTACTGCTTCAGGCTCATCTGCCTAAAGTCTAAAATTCGCCTTGTATTTTAGGCATATGCAAATATTGGTTGACCACTTTCCTTCCTCTCTTTCTCTGACGTGGTTCCCACCCTTCCAGCACCCGGGTTAGCTCAGCAATGACACAATAAAAATAAGAATAAGGAAATTAAGACATTCTGCCCTGCATAATATCACTTCTGACGCAGAATGTTTCGATCCCAGAGTTGTGAAATAGCTCTCTAGCCCATGCTATAAGTAAAATCTGAGAAACTGTGAAAGTCCTGACTCTTCCATAAAAATGGCTATTATGGTCAGATGATAGTTCCTGAAACAAGTAGGAAGACTAGTGGCAAGAAAAGTGGATAGGAGGTGCCTGTGACACTACAGTTGGCTGAGTTCTGAGACTCTGATGAGAAAATGTTTTGGAGTAGTTCCCATGATTAAGGATATTTCACTCTGCCTAAGGAGGATCATTTTTTCCACAGCATGGGTGGTGACTGGTAGGCACTTGGATGGATGCCTAGTTTTTGTCCTTCACCTTTGTGTGTATGATGGGACACCCTCTTTGGAGGTGATGTCAGGTGGACACTACTGTATGTTAAGCACTGATTCTTATCTGTGTTTTCAATGAGGAGAGAAGGGCAGGTGAGAGCA